CAGTGTTAAGTTTCCACAGTCTTTGATGATTTGGGGTGCAATGTCATCTGCTGTTATTGTGTTATTGTGTTTTTTGAAAACCAACGTCACTGCACCCGTTTACCAAGAAATTTTGGAGCACTTCATGCTTCCTCCAGCTTTTGCACACTGCCAAAAGCACCAGAAGTTGGTTAAATGACCATGGTGTTGGTGTGCTTGACTGGCCAGCAAACTCACCAGACCTGAACCCCATAGAGAATCTATGGGGTATTGTCAAGAGGAAAATGAGAAACAAGAGACCAAAAAATGCAGATGAGCTGAAGGCCACTGTCAAAGAAACCTGGGCTTCCATACCACCTCAGCAGTGCCACAAACTGATCACCTCCATGCCACGCCGAATTGAGGCAGTAATTAAAGCAAAAGGAGCCCCTACCAAATATTGAGTACCTGTACAATAAATGAACATACTTTCCAGAAGGCCAACAATTCACTAAAAATGTTTTTTTTTATTGGTCTTATGAAGTATTCTAATTTGTTGAGATAGTGAATTGGTGGGTTTTTGTTAAATGTGAGCCAAAATCATCACAATTAAAAGAACCAAAGACTTAAACTACTTCAGTCTGTGTGCATTGAATTTATTTAATACACGAGTTTCACAATTTGAGTTGCATTACTGAAATAAATGAACTTTTCCACGACATTCTAATTTATTGAGATGCACCTGTACTTTAAAAAATACTCAAATTAAAATGAAAACTAAAAATATAAAGATAAGCTAATTCAAAATATTAATTACTCTAACACTACATAAATGTTTCATATACAGTGGGTACGGAAAGTATTCAGACCCCCTTCAATTTTTCACTCTTTGTTATATTGCAGCCATTTGCTAAAATCATTTAAGTTAATTTTTTTTCCTCATTAATGTACACACAGCACCCCATATTGACAGAAAAACACAGAATTTTTGACATTTTTGCAGATTTATTAAAAAAGAAAAACTGAAATATCACATGGTCCTAAGTATTCAGACCCTTTGCTCAGTATTTAGTAGAAGCACCCTTTTGATCTAATACAGCCATGAGTCTTTTTGAGAAAGATGCAACGAGTTTTTCACACCTGGATTTGGGGATCCTCTGCCATTCCTCCTTGCAGATCCTCTCCAGTTCTGTCAGGTTGGATGGTAAACGTTGGTGGACAGCCATTTTCAGGTAGTGCCTGGTTTTCTCCACACATACCGCTTAGAATTAAGGCCAAAAAGTTCTATCTTGGTCTCATCAGACCAGATAATCTTATTTCTCACCATCTTGGAGTCCTTCAGGTGTTTTTTCATGTGTCTTGCACTGAGGAGAGGCTTCCGTCGGGCCACTCTGCCATAAAGCCCCGACTGGTGGAGGGCTGCAGTGATGGTTGACTTTCTACAACTTTCTCCCATCTCCCGACTGCATCTCTGGAGCTCAGCCACAGTGATCTTTGGGTTCTTCTTTACCTCTCTCATCAAGGCTCTTCTCCCCCGATAGCTCAGTTTGGCCGGACGGCCAGCTCTAGGAAGGGTTTTGGTCGTCCCAAACGTCTTCCATTTAAGGTTTATGGAGGCCACTGTGCTCTTAGGTACCTTAAGTGCAGCAGAATTTTTTTTTGTAACCTTGGCCAGATCTGTGCCTTGCCACAATTCTGTCTCTGAGCTCTTCAGGCAGTTCCTTTGACCTCATGATTCTCATTTGCTCTGACATGCACTGTGAGCTGTAAGGTCTTATATAGACAGGTGTGTGGCTTTCCTAATCAAGTCCAATCAGTATAATCAAACACAGCTGGACTCAAAGGAAGGTGTAGAACCATCTCAAGGATGATCAGAAGAAATGGACAGCACCTGAGTTAAATATATGAGTGTCACAGCAAAGGGTCTGAATACTTAGGACCATGTGATATTTCAGTTTTTTTTCTTTAATAAATCTGCAAAAATGTCAACAATTCTGTGTTTTTCTGTCAATATGGGGTGCTGTGTGTACATTAATGAGGAAAAATTTTAGCAAATGGCTGCAATATAACAAAGAGTGAAACATTTAAGGGGGTCTGAATACTTTCCGTACCCACTGTATATATATATTTGCCAGGTTTTACAGGGTTAAAGTGCCAATGCAACATCTCACATTTGTATCACATTTCAAAACAATTACTATCAAACACCAATATTTGGTAACATTTTATTTTAGCCATGGAGAGAGAAACTAAAGAGAGAGGAGAGTGAAAATGCCCACAAACCACATATCATATATGTCTGAGGACATAACATAGTGTCCTTGTTACACATTACATGTACTTACTACATGTAGTGAAGCCAGGAAATTATGCATAATTCAAAGGAACTAACCCTAAACCTACAGGAAGTCGATGTAATTAATATTACTCAGTACTTATTTGTGTAATTACACCGTAGTGAGTTTGGTTACTGTAGACAACTGTATTATACATCTGAATTTCCTCCTAAACAACTGAGGAAGTAACAATCAAAGTGTCATGAAATCTGTGAAATTTGTGATTTAAGTTCATTAACAAAACATGATACCTCTGTAGACTACTATGCCTCCATCAGTAGTCTTAATGTCATCAAAAATAATTAACACCAATCAGGTTAAACTGTTGATTTCAATGTTTCTTGTTTACTACCTCTAGACACAAAACGTTGGCAATAGCTATTGCCTTGTTCAGTTATCTAAACTTTGCAGTGTGTATGTGCCTGACTTATAATGACAGATCAGGAGATACACTGTGACGAGGGATATTCCACAGGCTCTTATTGCTCTTCAACAGGCCATAGAACAGGACAATTATGCATGGGAGGATTACATACGTGAGGATTTATGTACTTATTATAGCTGTCAGACATCTAATAGTGTTGATATTGTGTTTCATTAGTCGTTCAGCTCAGGCAAAACAGACTAGCTAAGCTTGTAACATCTGAGATAGGAAGGATGCAATTAGAGCGGGATGGAGGAGACGTGAGAAAAAATTCAATTCTAGATGCTGACTGATGTGACCAGTGCATAAGACCTTTTTACACACCCGGAATATCAACACACTGCCGAGCAAACACAAACAAATAAAAACAAAGAGATGCACATAGAAACGGACACACAAATCCTTCGAAATGCTCACACACACAATAAAAGTTGGGGATTAACTGAAATAAAGCTGAAATAAAATTAAATGTAAATATTTGATGAAAAACGAAAAGTGTTTTACTGAAATAAGAAAAATTGAAATAAAAAATAAATTGAAGCTAAATAGAAATAAAACAAAAACTAATAAAAATATCCAAAGCATTTAAAAAAAAATTAAATATTAAAATAAAAGCTAATTCTAATTGAATCTATTAATACATTTTATAGTACACTAAAATAACAGAACTTTTTTCATTTAATAAAAATACTGGAAACACTGCACTGAAATGTGTAAAATGAGATAAGTCATACTGAATGTCGCATCTATTGTAAATCAATAGTGAAATTATGTTTTGGCTGAGTTTGTAGTTTATTTATGTGAATGAGAAAAAAACTGCCTGCCACACATTCCTTCAAAAAGAGTAAATAGACAATACATCTTGCTATCTATTGTCCTTGCAGGCTGCATGCAACAACAAACATACAGCACGACCAGTGCAGACTGCTTGCGAACAAATAACCCGCTGGTTCTTTTTAATAAATCAGTCAAAAAGACTGAATCAGTCTCATGAGTTTTCAGTTTGAACCTAAAACTAAAACTATTTAAAATTGTTTTCAGTAATTGAAATAAGGATAACTGTAACAGTCAGACCTCTTCCATTACAATAACAAAGAAATTGTAAAAAATGTTGCTTAAAAACGCAAACTTAGTTGAAGTATAATGACTAAAACTGGAAAAAAAGAACCTAAAAATATTTGAGGTAACTTCCAATACACTGTAAACAATCAGCGAAAGATTCGCTCTATGAAAGCATAATAAGCAATTTATTTTACTCACCCTTCAACCACTGATCATTAAAAGAAAATTTTAAAGTGTAAAACCATTAACAAATTACAACATACCATGAATAAAACCCAAAAACCTTGCCTATTTCTGTAGCAATAGTATGGACTTGTTCAATTTTACTGTAGTAATATATGTCTATATTAAGTAACAATTGCATTTGAAAGCATCAGTGAGAAAACAACCCTAGAAAGAGACATGAGGATTTGGAGAGAAAAATTAGATATTCTTAGTGCATTCCCATTAATTATTCATGGTTAATATCGTTAATTAAATCAGGAAAGCAGACCACAAATGTGCATTTTTCATGCTGTTACAGCGGAATTGCAAAAGAAAAAATAATCAGGAGGAAAAGAATGCAGCGGAGTGAAAAGAGCTCTTGCCATAGACATTCTTGTTATATCATGTCACATTAAAATACCAAGCATTACATTATTCTCCTGCCGTCTGAAAAAATAGAACATGAAGGAAAATGTACAGCTCATTCAGTCGAACTGACGGATAAGGATGACTTGTAGTGCAACTTTATGATTTTAAATAATGGCTTGCAGAATGGCTTGTTAGTTAAAAGGTGGATAGAAATATTACAAAATAAAAATAGTTACAAAAATAAAAATGACAAAAGCACATAACAAAATGAAACATTTTAATAAGAAAGCAAATTCAATATATTTACAAATACTACAACATATAACTAATATATAAACAATACTAAAATAACAGTGATATGAAGTCATGTCAATGAAGTCAAATATGAAGTCAAAGCTGTTTTATTTTACATGGAGTGGGTCACTTTATGGGGGCCATTTTTAAACCACATGACCAAACGAAATAAATAATCGTATAAATAATATCTGACTGCTAATTTTAACAGTGACCAAACCAAAAACATGCTTTTAGTGATGCATCCACACCACTAGGTGTCAATATAAGTATAAAACCATATTGGCCAGTGCAACGCAAACAGTGTTTTCCCGAGGAATTGGGCTACTTTTTTACTGCTGCCACGGGGTTTATTTTAATCGTGGGTTGAAGCGAAGGAAATGGAGAATTAAGAATGAAAGAAAGCGAATTTGGAATGATTTTAATGCAATTTTGATAGCCATTTTCCACCGGAATGTGATTGGGATAGTATTGAGAGCCATTTAGACTGGTTTTGTTACATACACCTGGCAACCCTGAAAGGAAACATCATATTACTGAGTGTACTTTTAATAATGAATATATATGTGACCCTGGACCACAAAACCAGTCTTAAGTAGCACGGGTATATAGCAATAGCCAACAATACATTGTATGGGTCAAAATGATAAATTTTTCTTTTATGCCAAAAATCATTAGGATATTAAGTAAAGATCATGTTCCATTTTGTAAATTTCTTACTGTAAATACATCAAAACTTCATTTTTGATTAGTAATATGCATTGCTAAGAACTTCATTTGGACAACTTTTGTAACAAATTACAAATGAAATCTATAAATGCACATGAAACAAGCATTGATTAAAAAGTTAGATAAATCCACATATTATAAGAGCCCACACATACAGTACACACCAAAGCTCTCACACACAGACTTCAGCTCTCTCCATTACCTGCGGTCGTATTACGTGAGGCCACGGCGAGGGAAAAAGACCCAAGGAGAAGCGACAGAATAAACGAGAGGGCCATTCTTCCACCTGCAGATTGAGAGAAAGAGAGAGGCATTATCAGAGGAGGAATGAGTGAGTGTGAAAACAGAGGGTGGAGAGTGACTGTTTAAGGGTGTGAGATGAGTGTGAGAGGAGTTTCTGAAGGAGGAGAGGAAAAGAGGAAATACAGTAGGAGAAAGGAAAGGGGTGGAGGTTGAGAGAAGAAGCCATGGGGCGAGGAGAGAAGCAGAAGATCAGAAACAGCACTTGCGGACAGACGGCCCTTTTGAAATCTCTGAACAGCTGATCTCCTCTTCGAGATTCACAGTTAGTCTACCACGACCAAGCAAATGAGTCACTCGCGGCAGGGTGCTTTCCTTTACTCAGCCTACAGATCTGCTTAATATCTGCATCAAGGTGCGAGCACTGCCCAGCCTTTCCCCTCAATATTCCCTTTCCGCCTAGCTGCTTTCTGACTCAGACGCGCCAACAAGCACCACGGTCGGTGTAGATGGGGGAGGACAAGATGAATGATAGCTGTTGTTTCAGTCAGTGGGTATTGTGTATATATTGGTGTTGTTTTTGATGACAAGGGTCCCATTTTACTTGTAGCAGTATATGTATAGCAAATGAGATACATATACAGTATACGCTTGATCCTTGAATTTGATTGGCTGAGTGGCTTTTCTAAAATTATGGAATATTTTAACTGCACTGTACATTGGTGGTGGTTTTTTTTTGGGGGGGGGGGATTATTTTTGTATATTAACTGATACTCAACTGTAGGGCTGCACGATAAATCGAAATGGAATCGAGATCGCGATTCGACAGAAGCTGCGATTGTCATGCGTATCTTTCAGTGAAGCACGGTTCTGTGATCAGCAGTAAATCTCCATCCAAAGGCCAGAGGGCGCTCTCGCGCTGAAACTCCAAATACGCCTCGCAGAAGAAACCCAGAAAATGCATCGCTGCAGCTGAATAAACAGAAGATTCAACTGCTTTCATTGATTCAACGTGACTAATAAAAACACGACTACGGCAATATATGGTTTATCTCAGTTCTTCTTATTATAATTTTCATTAAAATAAAGTATATTTATAATGCAATGCCTTTATCACTGCTTAAATACTATGAAATATGTTGGGTGCCTTATTCTGTGTAAGAAGCCACATCATCTCACAGAAGGATTTATTTCAAACACTCGACTGACGTGTTTAATGCCGGTTCTGCAATCAGCAGGAAATCATCATCACATGCTTTCAGATGGAGCAGCATTTACTTCACAGAGCCGTAGTTCACTGAGAAGCTATGCAAACAGCTGTCATTATCGCGAACTATTTCTTCGATTTCAGAATCGCGCAATAAAATCGTCTGCTATTTTTTTGGGGTAACTTGTCAGTGAACTACGGCTATGTGTAGTAAATGCTGCTCCATCTGAAAGCATGTGATGATGATTTCCTGCTGATTGCAGAACCGGCATTACTATCAAAATGCGCATGACAATCACATTCAATTAATCGTGGAGCCCTACTCAACTGATTAATTCGATAACACAGAGTCATTCATCGTCTTGATGAGTGAATCATTAAATCATTGAAAATTCAATAAATTCATTTAACAACACTGATTCATTCAGGAATAAACGAAGCAAATGTCTTTTACTGAATCATTAACTCAACGGATTGATTCAATCGGGAATGAAATAGATGAGTCGATGTATCTTTCACTTAATTTGTTTAAAAACACTCATTCATTCAGGGATGAAATAAGCTACTATCTTTGCGAGTAAGTTATTGAATGATTGACTCAACTGACTCATTAAACAAGACAAATTCTTTCAGGCACAAGCAGGTGACTATATGAGTCCACTAGCTCAGCTGACTCATTTAACAACACTGATTTATTCTGGATTTAAAAAGTCACTAGGTGCATCCCAAATCACATACTTATGCACTATTCTATGACATTTTTTTAGTATAAATAGTGCGAGTAGTGCGTTCACACTGAAAATTTCTAAACGAAAAAGTGCACTTTAAATAACCGGATGATGCACTTAAATAACCGGGGGAAAAAACTAAGTGTCACTGCTTCCGGGTCCAAACGCTCTATCAGATGCTACAAGAAAACAACAAATGGTACTAATATACACTGAGAATGTGATATAATACTACCAAAAAATTATAATCCTAACCTTTATCTCCATATACCGAAATCCCAGATGGCCAGATAGTGATACATTTTTTTTATATATAAATCATTCAAATATTTGTATTTGGAACGCCGTGAACACTGAGATTGTAGTGTACACTGTAAGTTTTTAAATGCTTAGCTTAAATATGTAATATGAATAAATAGTGCTCATGAATGGCTGTTGAGTTGGTATTCTCAAGTGAAACGAGTAGAGGCTTGAACCCGGAAACAGCATTCCTTCGTTACGACTAAACAAGTGGATTACATCACGAAGGGGGAGGCGCTATCAAACTCAGATTATTAATGATAAAATATCAAATGGATACACTGCATGGTTTGAGTACATAGTGCATAAGTGCATAGTGTATAAGTGCATATAGTGTATAGTGTGTCATCTGGGACGCAGTTACTGTCTTCATGAGTCAATTAATCTTTCACTTAAAGTCCCCCTGTAGTGAAAATCAAGTTTTTTATGTTGTTTATTTGTCTATGTGGTGTTTTTAATATGCTTTTAGACAAACCATGTGCCAATCCATTAATCAACACCATTGCCAAGTATTTTCTCCTCAAAAGTGTAGTTTCCCAATGGCACTCCCAGAAATGTGGTTTGAAACAGCCCTAGGTTTGCTACGTCACAAACCAATAACCAATCACGTCAAGGGATCGATTCCTATCACTAGCATGCAAAATATACCAATACCAGCACAAAACCAAAAATAAATTAGACCAAAAAACCCATGAGGCCGTGGTTTATTGTGAATTTAGAACCGCTAACTTGCATTATAACCCGCGGCAACAGTGTAAAAGTAGCCCGGAGTCAGACCCACCTCTCCCGCATCGGTGTCTGCACTTCACATGCGTATTTATGCTCGCGGGCGCAAATTAAGAATCACAAACGGCTGTATTCGAGTCTTCAAGGCATTTTGAGGACACAACATCGTCAAGTAAGTAACGTTAAGTAATATTACAGTATTCACTGTAGTTGTCCGCTAGTAAAAACATATGCCACTGTTTTGCATTTACTACATTTCAGTGAATCAGGAGGAACTGGCTGGTGTGTGAGTGAGTGGATGCAGGGCTAATTTGCATATTCATAGATCAGCGTATAGTAAATGAGGCAAGGGTGTTGAGTTATATTCCAGCTATTTTAAGGCATGAGAAAATTATTTTCACAAGAAAAAACATTTAAATGTGTCATTTTGCTTATCAAAGATAAGTTTTAAGGAATATAATATTTGACTACAGGGGGACTTTAAATGTGTGAGTCAATTAATCTTTTACTTAATTCATTTAAAAACACTGATTCATTCAGGAACAAATCAAGCAACTGTCTTTATGATTAAGTTAGTGAATAACTGATTCAAGTGACTCATTTACTTTATTCTGGAATTAAACAAGTGTTTGTCTTTACGAGTGAGTCAGTGAATCATTCACTTAATTGATTTGTTCAAAAACACAGACTCATTCATGAACTAAGCGACTGCCTTTATACATGAGTCAATGAATCACTGACTCAAGTGACTCATTAAAAAACACTCTGATTCATTCAGGAACAAAAAACCCACTGCTGTGCTCGGATATGCATGACGGTTGATTCTGATTTCCATTCAACAAAAAAGACAAAATAACTAGACATACTGTGTCTGAAATGTGGTTGAATTAAGAAAATATTCCAGCAATAAAATTGTAATTTTGTGTTAATCTATATGAACATATATACCAACTGGCGAGTAACTCATTAAAGCTGAATTTTTCTTGCAGTTGGAGCTTGGCGAGTGTTAATTTTGAACCCAGTTGACAACACTGAAGGGAACATTGAAAGCAAGATGTAATAGTAGGGCATGTTCATAAGCCCCTATAATGAGTGTGGAATTGCAGGGAAGCGAAAGAGAAACGTGCTTCAAAGAGCTGAAAAACCACAGAGAGACAAATCTGGGACGTAGAGCACGTAAACCACCGGCTTCGTAAAAGGAACTGGAGCCAGCGCACACACATGTTCACATTCACTCACACACAATCTGATTAGACAGCCAACAATCAACCAGGACTAATCTACATAAATTAATTTTATATGCTAAAATTATATGCTAATTTGAAATACAGGTAGCAAAGCAGGAAGACTCAACTCCACCATAACGCTTTACACTTCCTGCGCTGTAATCACAATGGAAGCAATTTCTAGAGATTATTCACGGCTTCTAACTGTTCTCAAAGGAATATGAACGAGTATATGAGCCATAACACATTTTATCCCACACTATAAAAGCAGACGAGGCTTTCCTTCGTGGGAGCGCAGAGCGCTGTAAAGACGGTCTTTGCATGAAAGGCGGGTTAGGATTAACTTTAGCGGGTTCAGGCAGCACAAGGAAAAATTTTTGTGAATGCACTGAACATATGGAGTTGACAGAAAAAAAGCTAGCGTGCTGCCTTGCTGTCTACTGCTTACATTGGCAGCTGTCTTCTGAAGGGCTGTGCACACAGGACATGTTCTTGCGTTTGGTCTGCACTCATTGCTGGTCTGTGGTAAATCTGGAATAGGCAAACATCTTTGTCCATTACAGCACATCTCACACCATGAGCATGTCATTTTTTAGATGATATGTCAAGTTAAAAATAGTTTATGAGATGCAGCACTGTAAATCAATGTCGGTTTTAAAACAATGGCCCAATCGTATGAGCTTAAACACTGCTTATTTACATACACATATGCATACAGTATATGGGTAGTTGATGCATGTCCATGAATTTTTTTTTTTATTAAATCAGTATTTTAGGTTAAAATGTACACAAAAGTGCATGGAAAATGTAAGTTTAAGAAGCTATTTATTATGATTTTTAAACACATTTTTCCCTTAAT